AATTAAATAGTAATAATACTTCATATGTTAAAATAAATTACTTCTCTTTGTATATGCTTATTGAAATATAAATAAATTCAGTTAACAATAAAAAACGGGCGCTCACATCATATAACAAAATATTTCAATAGCAAAAATTATTCAAAAAATGTCCCTTCCAAACGAAACGCTCGAATCCCTTAGCAAATATGAAACAAAACGCAAAAATTTCTTAGTAAATCCAAAGTTTTTTTACATATAATGAATAACATGTGCTGGGTGCTACAAAAAGAAAAAAAGAATTTGTCAATTTTCTCCTTTTTGCAGCACTTAGTCCACATACTAGTCATATGATCTAACATTTCTTTATTCCTTCGTAGATCGTATGGGACCAGACTTCAGATGGCCTACTTCAATGCTCGAATGTTACAAGGATTTTGTTTTCTGGGCTCTCACCGATGATGTTAATGCCTTGAAAGGCGATGAAGAAGCTGCGCTTAATCATCTCTACTTCTTTGATAATCTTGATAAGGGTGCATTTGATACACATAAGAATGATTGGGTGTTAATATATCAACAAAAAGTGATTAAATTTGGGCCAAAATTAACGAACCAAGAAGCGGGTGCCATCGAGGATGAATTTATCGGCTCCATTTATATGCCAGTCGATCAATCGCAACATATGAAACTTCGACCAGCGAAAATAGTGCGTGCTCAGCGTGTTGATGATGGAAACGAATATAGGGTCTTAAATGTCTATTCAAATATAAATCTCAAATATAAATTTAACATGCTTTAACTATAATTTACAACAAATATTAAAGATTAGAATTCGAGTTAAAAGAGTTAGTGAGACGGATGAAAATTCTGTTTTGCTTGAATATAATTTTCGTGATCCCAAAAATAATAAGGTATACGATTCTACCCTCGATACCGGAGCACCTGAAACCACATTGCCTTTCTATGTTCGTAGACAACTTGGAAAGGCAGGATGGAGAAATATACACTGCTATGCTACTGGATATGGTGCACCTTCACGTGTATTTCTCGCCTCTTGTCCCTTTTTAGTTTCTATTGGAGACTCTACGAACTGGACCAAGTGGGTTCAAACGGATACACTTCGAGTTTTGGAAATGGATCCCGGTGATCATGTGACGTGTTCTCTTGTTGGTAATGATGTTTTAGACCAACTCGCATATGTGCACGAGCCCCAAAATGAATTAAAATTTTTAGAGGAAATACATGAACCTGCTTTGGCAACCTTTTTAACGTCACTAGCATAACGGTTGAATTGATCTGAATCAGATTTTTCTTTTAAACCAAGTAGATTTTTCATAATTTGTTATAGCAACCATGGCTATTTCTTCTATATCTATTCATTAGTACATTTTGCATTAGATTTGTTGTTATTTTTGACTTGAAAGTGTACTCAATTCTCACTGTCTGTTCACCCACGTGGTTAAACTTGCACATTTAATCGCATGAGGTTAACTACTGAACTAATTAACTCAATCCTACGTAACTGTTTGTTCATCCACGCGATTAAACTTGCACATGAGGTTAACCCGCAGGATCTATGGACAGATCTTACGGACAGTAAGGCTATAGGAAGACTTTCGTATGATTGGCTGTTTAAATCAATTTAATTTTACATTATTTATACAGTTTAAAGTACTTTTTAAAAAAAATCAAACTACGAAGAATATTAGGGTTGTAAGACTCCAATATTGAATCATTTCTGGTTTTAGAGAAGTTAGCATGGTAATAACCTAATTCTATCTATCTTTAAGAAGCGCTATTATGCTAACTTCTTTAAAACCAGAATTATTTTTAATACTGGAGTCCTACAACCCTAATAAAACTTTCTACATGCTTCTTTTTTTGTTTATTCTTCGTAGTTTGATTTTTTTTTAAACTGTATAAATAATGTAATATTAAATTGATTTAAACAGCCAAATACGAAAGTCTTCCTATGGACAGTAAGGACAGTCAAATTCACGTGATATTGCTAAAACCACTAACGGCTGAATGTTAGGTTTTACGTAGTGCAATACCATTTTAAAAATTCCTCCTAAAAAGCTTCATTGATGCTAATTAAGTGCTTTGCACAACTATATAACTGATAATACGTTTACGTAGTGTAAATGTAGTACGTATCATTATTATGACTATAAAAGTGTGCGTCAGTGCACAAAATTGTGGCATGATATTTTCAACAACCCTGTCTAAAAAATTTCGCTGGCCAATCAAATTTCAAGATCAGGTGTAACGTTGCACGATCAGGAAAATTCAAAACAAACGAAACTGCCTTCTGCGTATTAACAAAAAGTTTTCCTCGCAAAATTTTGGTATAATTATAATCATCTAAACCTAACCTACTTGCAATACCCTAACCCTAACCTAATAGCGAAATGGTTTTTCTTAGCGAAATTTTTTCCTTGGTTTTGCAATAAGATCACATGATTGCGAAATTTTTTAGACTCTTTTTACTAAACGGAATTTAGAATCTATAGCCGGAGGTAGTGACAATAGTTACAATCAGTTTTGATGTAAGAAAGTGTTAAAATTTTGAACAAACGGAAAATTTCCAGATATCAAAAATTGCGCCGGAATTTTTCTTAATTTACCGGAATCTCCGGTATTTTACAGTAATATATTTAACAAGGGTCGCATCGAATAGATACAGTTGCTGTGAGTAATAGTCATGGGAGAATTTTTTTTGTGGTTACATTAAGCTATGAGTTTTTATTAAAATCGTTTCGGAAGATGCAGTAAACCTTTGTAGATGATTTCTTTAAAGACTTAATTGATTTATTTGATATAAGGTGCTTCTGAACATATATTTTTCGTTCCCTATAAGTTTTAACAAACAGAATGATACAAATATGGATAACATGATTTTGGTGAGTTTATAATAG